AAAATCTAGCCTTCTTGAGCATCTTGACAGTTCATCCAGTGCTTTACTGAAAGTTATTTTCTCACCTGAGTCACTATTCACTTGAGTTAATGTTTCCACACCTGAATCAATGTTTTTAGCTAAACTGAAAACCAGCATGTGGGGCTGTGAAAAGGAGCTATATCAAGAGGAGCAGCTAACAGACAGCAGAATTGCAAAAGAAAAGATAGCATAATTAGTGGAACACCAAGCACTTTAAAAAGGAGAGAGGGTTTTAACACCTGTGGAACGAAGAGTTTAGATGGCAGCGTGTAGATTATAATAAGCCATGGAGTCAAGTGACTCCCTCACTGCTACTTGAATAGAAATACTGCTGCCCTATCAGGTAGTTGGCTTTAAATGTTAGGTAGACCATGAATCAAAGGCAGGGAAGGGAGGGGTAACTGTACCCCCACTAGATCAATCCCTGGGCTTGCCTTATACAGCAAGCTTATATGTCTTTGGCTGTTCTCTCGCTGCTAATTCTTTTAGTACATTCCTACTAGTGGCTTTTCTTCACTGGAATATATGGGCTTGCATATTTTTTCCCCAGAGGTATCCAGCTGAATTTTGGTGTATATGGAGGGTGGATTCTTCTAAGCATGGTATCCTTTTAAACTGGCTTTGTTGATTCCCTATTGACTGAGCAGTAGAAGAACACACATGCTACAGCCCAGCTGGAAAGACTTGTACCAAGAGGGGAACTGGCAAAACTAGCCAGGCTGAACACACTCTGGAGTAGTATAAAACCAAGGTACTCTAAAGGAATGCAGGCCAGAGTAATGTGGTACAGGTTTTGTTTCTTGACATACTTAACAACCAGCTAGTTTGTCTCCATATGCAGTCACGAGGTTCACTGGCTGAATTTGAGGTGTAAGAGAGAGTGGCAATTTGGAGGCTCAAAATAGAGAGGCAGAAAAAAAATGTTTAGTCTTGAGCCTCCCAATTACACCATGGGCTGTAGCTACAGAGCCTGCGTAATTGACTGGAAGGATTTTCCTTGAAAAGTAGCTTTGCAAAATATTGAAACCTTGATATTTTAGCACAGTGGGAGACATCCTGTCTGGAAGGCATGGCACAAGGTAATCCCTGCCCCTTCCCTGAGTGCCACTCTAATCCCTCTTCTTTTGTCTGATATGCTGTTCTGCTTTCTGCTCCTGCCATTGTGCTCCTTACCTGCTCTGCTTTCTGTTCCCTGCCCTGTCACAATTCCCTTCTTCCTCCCACAGGGGCTGCCTGTGCTATTTGTGCCACAGGTTGGCCACCCTTGTTTTAGCATATATTTGGTTGCTATTGATTCTTTGGTATTATTATAATATTTGGACAAGATAAGACTGCATCTGTTGAAGACTTCAGTCTGGCTTTGTTAATATGCAGGCTGGTTTTAAGAGGTAACCATTACTGGAAGTTTTATCTCTAGTTTAGTCTACAGAAAAGCCATAAAATGTCAGTAGGAGATCCCAAGCTGAGATATCTGCAGAGCGGTAAACACAATAACTTGTAAAGCCAGGAAATCTACATAGAAGGAAACAAGGGAGCTTTTTCTTTTCCTTTCAAGGGATTGAAGGACTTTTTAAACTGTCCAAAAAAATTAAAGGAGTGGTTCATGTAAATGAGCAAGTTGTTCATACTTGGTTACTGGATATATAAATATCAAAGCAGTTATGCATGTGGCTTGCTGAGGTCATCATTCAGCTTGGGTATGATATCCTTATTCTAAGTTAAACTGTCTGTTGGTCAGCTGATGAAACCTACAGTTCCCTCTTGTCTAACTCAGTTTGTGCAATGAGGTGACTTAGGCTGTGCCTTGTGGAATCTGGAAGTTGGGCAGGAGGGAACTGGTTAAGTCATAATCCTGACAAGACAGGTACTTGGAAAATAACTGGAAGAAACAGAAGTAATTATATCAGTTCCCTTGACTGAAAGAATGTAACTACTGCTCAGTACACCTGTTTACAATTTGGGGGTCAGGTCGTATCCCAAGTCAATCTAGGACATATTGGCAAGGATTGCTGTTTTCTATCAGTTTTTGGCAAAATTGCTTTTTTTTCCCCCCCAAATGTAGAACTCAGTACATTTACCCCTGCCTTTATCCCCAAGAGACTGTTGCAACATGCTCTCCACAAGGCTGTATCTCAAAACCATTTGCAAAGTTAGTAGAGAAGTGGAGTATCATTAAAATGCTGCTTCCTCTCATACAATGTCCATCACTATCATATCCAAATGGCTGTGCCTACCAGACTGTATGGTCTTCTGATTAATTCATGAATTAAATTGAAAGTATTAGACTTGACCGAAACAACTCAAGTGGTTTGGGAACTGTTTACACAAGAGACCACTCCCTTTGCTATATCACAGCAGCTGCAATCAGCGGTGGTCTTCGAACTAACAATTCCACTTAAAAGAGAAAGGCCTGGTTGTAGGGGGGAGGATATCTGTGTGGAGTCCTAGCCCTGAACACATTGCCTTGAGCTCTGTCCTACTGATTTTGCTGAACTCCAGAGCACGGTGAGTTAAACATTCTTTATTCGGCAAGTGTAATGTGGTTCTTAAGTTTTAGTGTTATTTTGGGGGGAGGTTGGATATGATGCGGCATGCATTTAAGTTTTGGATCTTAAATTATTATAGAAGTGGGTGAAGTTATATGGATAAGGAGATTTTAAGAGTCTTTTTAAGTTAAGAATCTTCTGTGTGAAACAATTGTCTTTTTTCTGCCTTAGGCTGGTTAAGCTAATAACAATTTAAACAGATTCACTGAAAAGGCAAAATGTTCTGCAGACAAGATTATGAAGTCAACACTTTTTTAATATGTCTCGCTCAATTTATGTTGTTGTGATTCCCTAGTAATTTTACTTTTTGGACTGACTGATAACCCGTGAGAAGACAAAAAAATCAAAGGATTATAGGAGTTAAGACCAGGAAAGATGCATTGCATCAGGGGTTTGCAAACTTATTCTTCAGCTGGATTTATGTCATCTCAAAAAAGTTTTCAGGTGAAAACTTTCCCATTCACAGCTGCATGGCATCCCTGGGGTAACAGAGAATTGCTTTCATAAAAAGTAATATTGGAGAAGCATTTAATGTAATGCAGCATAGCAGCAACCCAGTGCAACCAGCCTGTTGTCCATGGAGTAGACCATGAACCAGAGTTTGTAAACCTCTGGCTCAGCTCCTGCCATCTGTTTCCTTGCAGGACTATTCCCTACCATATCTTTTCTAGTGCTTTGTCTGATCTGATGTTAAACATCCATACTGCAGGAGTTTCTACCTCTTTTTGTAGACCACAGCACAGGCTATTAGGTCCAACTATCAGCAAGAGCTCCTGACACCCAGCCTAAATTAATCCAAGTAGTCATACCATGAACCTCTTTCCATATTTAAGACCCACCACACAAGTCCAAAAACTGAAATTTACTTCAGTCAGTCAATGCTGTGGTGAGCTGTACACCGCTGTTACAGAGCTCTGTGCCAGGATAGGGGCGGGAATGCCATGGCATCCAGCACAGACTCTTCTCTGCTGAGTATTATTAAAATCCTCTTAGTCTTTTATGTTCCTACATGAATGTTCTTTTGTTATAGGGCTTAATCCAAAGTCCATTGGGGTCAATAGGAGTCTTTCCGTTCACTTCATTTGGTTCAGGATCAGGCCCACATCATGACAAATACCTCGCTTGTATGCTCCACTAATGGAAGCCAGACTTCACCATGAAACAGTCATCTTGAAACAGTGAACTTGAGCCCTACTTGTTCTTTAAGGCCAGTCTGTCCAAAGCAGAGAATGTACCATTAATGTTTTCTGAAAGGACATAGTAAATGAGTACAAGTCCCCATGATAAGATTCACTGGAGAGCTCTAAAAACCTGAAGTTATAATATCCAAATGGCAAACAAAAATATGCAGTTTATCAATAAAAACGGCTAATATGTACATTTTTGCTTGTAATAAGGTTTGAACATGAACAACACTACAGAAGTGTTGTGCTAGGCTTGGGTATTTGACTTGTCAAATAAAGTTTGGTCAACTGACCATCAAATATGAGTCAAAAATTGTAAAAAATTGCCAGTAGGCCCAAATCATACACAAAATAAGTACAAATTTTCCATTAAGAAATGTGCAAAAAAATATATTTCTGGCAAGAAAACTTTAAAAAAAATTTAGCTTGTTTTTGTAAAATTGCTATCTTTGACCAGTCAAAAAATATGCTGTCAGTTGACTGGCCAATTGACAATATTTGATGAGTCAATTGAATGGCTTGCCAAAACTACACTGTGCTAATAAGTGTTATGTGATTACCAGGGGACCTGCCCACAGCCTGCTTTAGGAATAGTGACCTCAGGAATTTCCGACTGAGGAAAAATCTTATAAATTTATCTTAAGTATTATGTAAGAGATACAAGCCAGCCAGTTTTCAAAGATAAATGGTGTTTCTCCAGCCTGATAACATTCTTTGATGATCTAAGCAAACTAATAGATGCAAACCTGGTGAATGAGGTTTGTTTAAACTTTCACAAGGATTTTCATAACTTTTCTTACAAAGTGTTAGTAGGAATAGTTTGGAAACCAATGGGATGAGAGAGAAAATCCTATCCTGGATAAAACATTGTTTAAGAGTAAAAATACAAATGGAAGAATAAATGACCATTTGATTCTGAGAGATTAATACTTGGGAGGTACCGAATAGATATATTGACATCCAGAAGAAAGAGATGCAGCAATATTTGCTGGTAATGAAAAATTATTTAAATTTACTAAAAACATGGAGGGATCATGGGAAAATAAAAAGGGATTTGGCAATATTGTGGCCAAGGTTTTCAGAAATATCCTCCTAAAGTGAAGCTCTGAAGGCCATTTTTTGGACAACTACATAAGCAGATTCATTGTCAAACTTGCTTTTGAACTTCAGCAGTTTCTCCTGAATTCAACTGGGGCTGGGGGAAGGGAGTGAGGCATTAACACTTCTGTAAATCTGACCACTTATTGAAGCATCCAAAGAACTCTAGTCCTAAAGTTCCCCTGGAACTGGGGTTGTGAGAAACTTTAACCAAAAATGTCTTCTCCACTTACTAATGTTCAGTCATCTATGTATTGGTGGTCTGCCATTCATCACTCCAGAGAGACTGTGCTTCAGTAATGATCTATCCATTCCCTCAAGCTCCGCATCCACTTTGGTTCAAGTTACAAGGAACAGAGGGGGAAGACATTACCTTGGTTTCTCTTTCACTACATCTATCTGCCACTAGCCTCAGCTCCAGAAGGAATGATGAAGGAAACGACTGAAGCCATCATTTCTTACAAAAGGCTGATACTTATAGGAACAATAGAGCCCTCTCCCATGGATACTAGCCTCACTCAGTACATTCCTAGCAGTGTCTTCCCAGTGCAATGACAGCAAAGCTCTTCTCTGTACTGAAAAATAACAGCTAAGTCCCCAGGTCCACATTGCTACTCTTACCCAATATATAACTCAGGGAACTGCTGCAGACGTAGGGGTCCTGCTGCTCTGGGCATTAGAAAATTATAATGCTTTTTCTGTGTTTCTGTGTTTGTTGGTTAATCTTAACTATTGTTACCAGGTCCCCAGAGAAAGGGGGAAATGATGAAGGCTTGGTGTTTTATCCTCTTGCTAAGTTGGTTCACCCTGCAGCTTGATGCTAACCCTGGGCTCAAAGTGAGGCTAACACAAAAAGGGCTGGACTTTGGTAAGCCTGTAGCTTCCAATAGCTACCTTGCAATAGATTTTATTCTACTGAATTCTTAATGCATGCCAAGTATGAAGAACACCCTGTGAGAGAACAAGTTGATCACAGGCTGAAGAGAAAAGGAATGTAGGAAATTCAATTTAAGAAGGAGAGGGCTTGATGTCTGGGGCAGGAGTTGCATTGATATGGTGTATCAAGAACTACAGTGAAACATGGAGGGAAGGGAGCTAAATCCTCTGAACTTGATGTATATCATGTAACCTTTCCAATCATGTCAAAGTCAATCAGAGGTCTCTGTCCTCTTGTAGGCAAGGAGATTGGGATGGAGATCCTGAAAGAAAGGATAAAAGAGGAAAGCTTCCCAGATTGGAACGACTCTGAGAAATTTGGGCTTAGTGAGATCAACTACCATCTTTCAGGGTAAGTAAAACAAAAGCACAAAACAGCTCTTTGCAATGTTATACCATCACTCTGTGTGTGTGTGTGTGTGTGTGTGTGAG